TCAATGTCATTATTTCTTCCATGTAAGTTGGAAGGTAGATAAGTCATGGATCAATCTATAAATGAGTGTTCAATTTCTATGCCATACAAATTGAACACAAAATCTAGGCTAGATTTTGTCTACAAGATATGTAATATTAAGTATGATCTCATGGAAATTTATTGTGATTAGAAAAAAAATCGAGTCAGTTGAGTGCAATGAGTTAGAATTGTATCTCCTACATTGACAGTATGTGTATAATAATGATGGTGTTATCGAACGAGCTTGAATACTTCAATGTCGGATAGACCGAAGACGGATTTTCCAGTGAAAGTTTCCTTGCCATGTCCAGTTGTATCAACATAAGCTCCAGGAAATGATATTGTATTTTGGTAACTGGTGTCCTTGGGAAAGTTGCTCACACTCACATCGCAAGACAAACCGTGTTTACCGAAGCAAGCCCCAAAGCTTTCAAAGTGATAAACTGCGTCATTTACTCTGTCAGGATGGATTAGATATTTCGTGGGTGGAATGTTATGAGGATTTGTCAAAGTAAACAAGAATGCCTGAGTATCACGTTTAACGGAAACCACGGAAGACCATGGGACTGATGTGTAACCGCCAAATAGAAACTTCTCAGTTGATTGAAAAATAGTCATCGTAGGTCCTTTCCCATTGCACTTTGCGTGAAAATGTTTTGCTTCGTAACCGTCACGCGATGCTTTATATATTAATTCCCATTGTTGATCAAGTTTGCCATAAAATTCGTTCAATTTCTCTTTGTGTTGATAACTCTCCAACAACGTGGTACCTGGAAATGTTGGTTTGGCTAACATATTCTGCAAGTTTTGCAGACGAAAATAATCGGCTTCACCGACAAGACTTTGTCGAAGCGATTCGTCATTCTTCACACTATTTGGTACTGCACCTGTACGCAGGTACTCAAGAACGTAAGCAAAGAGTTTGCCGTTGCGATCAATGAAAATGCTGTCGTCCTTGGGATCACATTCTTGCTGCCATTGACGCGCGAAGAGGTCTGTAAAGAACGTGTTTTTCTCGCGTGCTGTCAGTGTGCTGACACTTGTCGTATATATTTCACCGCCAACATTGAGTATTACCTTGCTCGATGCCATTTCTTACGATTACTTTTTTCTGTCGTAAGACGCTTTTTTAAAATTGTCTATACCGTTGTCTGTTTGCCTCTTGAAATGTAAAATAACCTTGCTATTAATGTGCTATTTATGTATGATTACTTTCTTTTCTAACGTTTCGGATCACTGCTTACACGGTAGAAAAAAATGTCGT